TTAGTCACTATTTTTGTCGATGTTGAGACATCGTTTAATTGGTTTTTGGTATTGTTTCTGAACACCCCCATCAAGAATGAATTTTGTGTGCATTTTTAGTTAGAGACTAAGAAGACTTTAACTATGCCAACATGTAGTTCATTTGTTAAAACTCAATCTTTGAGGAGTCAATGTAGATTAATGATACCTTAAGTACCATAATCTACATTGGTCTCACGACGCTCAAGCCGAACCTACTCGAACAATCCTATTGGGGGGCGGGGGGGCTAGCTAATCCTTCAGTTGAGTCTCGCCATAGACTCCAAAAACATTTAGGGGAAAACCAAAAAACCAAACCTCAAGTCGTTCGTCTAAAAGGACCACAGACAATTGAACCAAACTATATTTTGCCATGTAAATCTAACTTAAACCAAGTTAGGAATGGAAAAATAGTTTGGAATGCCCTTCTATAGGTATAAATCCCTATATGAAAAATTTTCAGCATGACCCACCCTTTAAACTGGTAACTTTAGCTGATCTAAACCATGATAGCTTACACACCAGGTGCATATAGGTTAAGGTCTTATGTAAAATCCCACTCATAAGCCCAACTAAAACCACATAAATGCATGACACATAGAACCAGAATGGCACCCACTGGGAACCACCAGCAGCAACCTTCGCTGAAGGGACCTACAACTCCAACGTGGGTCTCCAATCTTCATCCAGTGGTCGCCTCTGCAGTTCAATCGAGGGAACCCCTCTGCATGCTGATCAATCAACACCTCCAGTCATTGTGGATTTATCGTTGTGGATTATATGACTTTTTCCAATGGATTACAGACTCTGTTTCCAAGGGGTTAAAGCATTGCTACAATGGAATTACCAACAACATAATGGAATTACCAACAACATTATGGAATTACCAACAACATGGTGGAATTACCTAAACCGTTGTGGGATTACCTTCTTTGACTTTTGTTTTGCTCTTGCTGGATTACATCAAGATCAAGGACATTCGGAGGCGTAAGTTCATGTTGGAATTCATCCCCATGGACAGGCGATGATTTCCAAAGGGGGGACTGTAGTAGACTAGGCCTCCGACCAAAACCTGCCTCTGAAGACCTTCATGGGACAGGAACTGTTATTTCATTGATTTGAATCCAGAAATATAAATTAGCTCATCCAAAGACTGTCTAATTGTATCCTGAACTAATCAATTGAAAGAACACTCTCTTTTGTATATTATCATCACTCTTTTACAATATCTTGATAATCAAAAGTGTGTTTAGTTCATACCATTTTTAAATGTTGAAGTGAACCACTCATTTTAAATCAACTGTGAAACAGTATTAATGATTTTTAATCCTCATTTAAATTAGAAATCAAGTTAAATGTCTATTTTACAAAGTAATTATGCATTTTTTTGATCTTCTGTCTGAAATGAGAAAGAGTGATGTCGGTCAGAAGTTGGAGACAGTCAAAAACAAGTTGTTGGAACGGGCTGTCGTGTTTTTAAAACTCTCAGACAGTAAATAAGAAAACTGGCACCTGCAGTGTTAGTCACTTCGCCAAAACATTTCTCTGTCTGTTCCTAAACATTTCTGCTGTTTTCTTGACTTGTAAAAACCCTTTGACGTCACTAGAACCACACCCCTGTTGGTTGCTTCAACCAATCAGGAAGCACCGGAAGCAGAACTCTTTAAAAGTCGACACTTCCTGGAACTATTAGTCTTTCTGAGTCTGTGGAGTAATGTCTGCTCAGTCTTCTGAGTTTTCTGAGTCTTCTGGAGTCTTCTGGGGTTCTGTGGAGTAGTTCTGAGTTTTTCCACTGCTGAGTGGAACTTCGGACTCAGTTTTCCAGTCTGATGGAGTCATCCATCTCTGCTGGGGGCACGGCACCTCGCTGTGGCTCCACCAGGCGAATGCCCTACAACTTCTGAGGAAGTTTGTTCTGTTGAACGGACTATCTCACGACTTCTGCCGAGTCGCAGCCGCCCTGAGGAGACGCTGAAAGGTAGCGTGCCAGGGACCTCTTGACCATAGCGGACCCATCCTCTGCCAAGGTAAAGAGTCGTCACGAGCTTCACTACAAGTGTACCGCGGGCGAACTGCGCTTGAAAGGAGCGTGTTGTTCTGGCCTACAGACATAAATCTTCCTTCAACATCTCCCTTTAAACTCCTCAATATTTCCCATCTTTAAAACTCTTCTATCTTGCCAGTAATTAATCCAGATATCTTCAGAAACGTCTGTTGTTTTATTAAGTAAAACGTGCCAAGTTTTATTAATCAGAACCAGATCAGTCTAATCAAGTGTACAATGTTTTGATGTTAAATTTTGATTCTGTTAATAAATGACCACATTCATTTTGATAGGTCAAAGAAAATTAACGTCTCTTGTCACTGATTAAACCATCTACGCACAGTACCTCTGTCAGTAAGTAGCTCGAAAAAGAGAGAACCTGTTAATTTAAAATATGACTGTAGTGAAGCTCTGAAGCTAACCTAGCCTTTTAGAACACTACAATGAGAAAGTTGAGAAATACCAAGGGCTGAAGAGGAAAGTAGAGGAAGTTGGTAGCATTGATCACTGATGTTCTTGGTGTTGCTGATGATCTGTTGAAGTGGCTCCAACAGATCCAGGAACTTCAGATCTCCCTAGCTAAAAGAGCGCAGTCCTAAGAACAACTAAGATCCTGCATAGAACCCTAAATCTAGATCTTTGAGGACCTGAGTTTAAAGTGAAGTGGAAAAAGTTTATCTAGAAAAAGTAAGGTGAGCTGGCTGTTGGTGAACTGTCAAGTTGCTGCAGCTGTATATCTCACTTGTAGGGGTGAAACCTACACAAATATTATAATTCAGAACTGTATACCTTGCTGAAGTCATACGTTGATACATTTGAAAGAAGAGGAATGAAAGTCAGCCGTAGTAAGACAGAGTACCTGTGTGAATGAGAGGGAGGAGGTGGAAGAGTGAGGCTACAAGGCGCAGAGGTCACAAAGATGCAGGACTTCAAGTACTTGGGGTCCACTGTCCAGGAAAATGGGGAATGTTGTAAAGAGGTGAAGAAGAGAGTCCAGGCAGGATGGAGTGGATGGAGAAAAGTTTCAGGAGTGATTTGTGACAAAAAAAAGGTGTCAGCAAAGGTCAAAAGAAAAGTTTACAAGACAGTGGTGAGACCAGCTATGTTGTGAGGTCTGCAGACAAAGACATGGACAAAAAGACAGGAGAAAAAACTGGAAGTGGCAGAAATTAAGATGTTGAGGTTCTCCTTAGGAGTGACAAGGTAAATGATAAATGGACTGTACTTATATAGCGCCTTTCTATCTTATTTCAAGATACTCAAAGTTCTTTACAACAATTTGTGTCCTCATTTACCCATTCATACAGCACTCTACTAGATCTCTACAAAGCTAATTGAATAAATCATTCTAAAGAGACTAATCAGTGCTTTAGATTACATTCATACACTGATGGGACACACATCAGAGGCTATGAGGGGTTCAGTGTCTTGCCCAGGGACACTTTGACATGTGACTGCTGGTGGATTTGAACCCCCAACTCTCGTATTGGAGGACGACTGTTCTAACCACTCAGCCAAGGTGACAAGGATGGATAAGATTAGGAATGAGATCATCAGAGGTACAGCACAGGTTGAACAACTGGGAGATAAAGTTAGAGAGGCCACACTGAGATGGTTTGGACATGTCCAGAGGAGGGACAGTGGGTAAACTGGTAGAAAGATGTTAGAAATGCAGCTGCCAGGAAAAAGACAAAGAGGAGACATATGGATGCAGTTAGAGAGGACTTAGAGGTAGTTGGAGTGAGGACAGAGTGAGATGGAGGATGACTCTGAACAGGGAAAAGCCAAAAGAAGAAGTCAAGCTCAATTCATTCATTATATCACTCTGCCTCTTTTACATCTATTGTCCACTTGGTGACACAGTGAAGCTTCTGCTCACAAGTGAACCAACTGGATGAAAAGCTTTAACACTTCATGAAGCTTCATCCCATTCTCACCACTTCACTGAGGGTTTTACGTAGAAAAAACACAGTCCTAGAAATACAGGAGAGTTGGTCACAATGACCACTGGTTGGACGGTACAATCCTGAGCTGGTCTTATGAAGGCAGATGAGAAGATGATGATTGGGTCACCTGTGAGAACAGGAAGTGAGTTGGCACAGGAAGAACCGAGAACCGTAAAGCTGCCCCACACCGCCACCTAACAGAACTGAGAGGAACGGCCTGGAACAGCGACAGCTGCTCAGTGTTGTTAAGATATTTCTTATTTAGACTGGTCCTATGGTTTTGATCTGCTCAGAGACGGGATTATAATGAAATTATGACCCGGTTCTGACTGGGTTAAACTGGGCCAGCAGCTCTCAAGAGAGTCTCCCTGGGATTTCAATATCAGTCAAATAGTTTAATTTGCTTGCCACATCACGTAGAAAGGCTTTGAAGCACCGTCTCATATTTTTCCTAACACGTCAGTCCACATAAGACCACACTTAGCCACGCCCCCTCATACACTGACAGGTTGAGCTCCCCTTCTGCGAAGGTGGAGTCTTTAGGGCCCTATAAATTAGTAATGACACGGGACATCGAGGCTCTTCCGGGTCTGTGTACGCGTCACAGTCCGGAGAGTCCAGCGTTGTAAAACTGTAATCTTCTCCTGCCTTTTTTAATATAACTGATAAAACTTAATTGATGTTTCCTTGATTTATTTGTTAGTATGAGTGGCCACTTCTGAGGGAGGTTCGAGCTGGGGGTAAAGACGTGGGCTGGAGGGGGTTTCCGGATCCGGTGGCCCGCAGCCAGCTCTAGTCTTTAATAGTGTCAAGAATTTGTTTACCCAACAAACAGAAGAACAGAATGCTGTTTACACAGAAAGACAGATTTATTCAAACATCACTTTTTCACAAAAAAACAAAAATAAAACGTCTTTTCTAACACAATCAAACACCCATCAAAAACTACAGTGCATGATAATAATGCTCCATTAATATTTCCATCTACCCAAAAACATCTTAAATCCTAAAACATGAGAACAAAATATTACTGGAAATAATTAAAGTTTAATAATATCTCAACTTTGTACTTGATTTTTGCTATTTCAGGAATCATTTCTAATAAAAATTAACTTTGTAACAAAATCATTCTTTTTGATTTTTATCTAAAAACATCTAACTCATCTTTTACGGTTTGGGACTAAGTTTTAATCTGTGTTGCTATCTTTTCTGTTTTTAGAAAACGTGATCCAGCTATTTGATGTGAATTTTCATATATCATTCCATCATTACTTGTTTTAGTACTGCTAACAAACCCATAATGCAGCTCCACAGTGTCGCTAGCTGGACTGGGTCACAGCCATTTAGCAGGTGCTCTACATGAGTCCAGGACCCATTATTAGGCAAAGGGTCCACTCTTAAAGTCCAGCACATCAGATTGTAAATGTCCACTGCTCGAACTGGAGCTGCTTGAACATTTTGCTTGAAGTCTGGATAAACAAAGAAAAGATGATCTATTTAGATCACAATTCAGTATTCAATCCCAATCCCCAAAAGTTTAAATCCTCAAAAGTATATTAATAATTTAAAAAAAGGCTGCAAAAGAATGTGATGAAGTGATAAGCATATCGGCCAACCTCTAACTGGCTCCAACCCACATAGATAGTGACAGAACGATGATTATCACACTATATATATATATATATATATATATTTCTATCACAGGGGTGTTTTTATGAGTACAGGTACAGGTACTTGAGCTGGTTTGTATCACTAGAGGATGTCATCAAATATTGTGCACAGGTCAAATAGTGTTACATGTTGTTTGAGAACAACTGTAAAATTTACAAAACACAACAAAAAGAAAGTGATTCATTTCACAAAATACTAAGAAAATAGCGTAGAAGAAGAGGAATTGAAGTTCCTTGTAAAAATAAATAAATAAAGGACCATTGTTTTAAAGAAAAAAGTATGAAAAGCAAATTTTGCTCAAAACTTAAAAAAATTATCCATGAAAACTGATTACACTTGGACAATAAAAACTATAGAAAGTACACCATAGAAACTCCTGGATCACAGAAACAACACTTGGACCATATAAACTACACTTACACTTAAACTACATGTGGGTTTTCTCCAGGTGCTCTGGTTTCCTTCAACAGACTAAAAACATGCATGTTAGGGTGATTGGTAACTCTAAATTGTCCCTAGCTGTGAGTGAGAGAGTGAATGGTTGTTTGTCTCATTTGTCTCTGTGTCACTGTGATGGATTTGTGACCTGTCCAGTCCTGTGCCTCTCACAGTGACTGCTGGAAATAGACCCATCTCCCATCCATTGAAAGATCTGAAGCTCTTGACCTTGACCTCTCTGGCAAAACCCAATGCAGATATGTTCCTGTTTTTAGTTTTCTACACCGCCTTAGAATCTAGCTGTTTTTTTTTTTTTT